GACTGGGGAGAAGGAAATGCCAAAATGCCAGAAGTCCAGTGTGAAGCGTGTAGTGATGTAGGGACAGCTTTGCTGTAGACATACTACTAATTAATTATTCTTAAAGCTAGTTCAAGCACATAGAATATTAATTGTTTAATTACAACGGATTATTTTCTTTTTCGAGTTAAATTTCTGCCATGTGACCAAGATAACTGTGAGTGGATTGTTTAATCAGTGACATGAGACGCCATTTTATCTTTGACCCATCAGATTAAATGCGGTCATTTATTTAACAGAATCAAAATTTAACATCAAAACATATACACTTGATTTGCTGATCTGTTTCTGATTAATAAAAACTTGGCACGCTTTGCTAACAAGACAACAGAACATTACTGATGGAGGCTGATTCACCTCTGAAGGCAGCTAGATTACTGGCAAATAGAAAAGTTAAGAGAAGACATAGATTTAAAGATTTAAAAGGAGGTTTAGATGGAAGCTATGTGTGAAACCAGAACTTTGCACCTTTCCTCAGACACCCCCCTCAGCTTTCCGGTACACTTCAGGACGTGCAGAGACTTTGTTACCTTAGATGGGGGATACCTCCACTCCGGAACAGAAGTCCATTAGTACGATCCCTTTACAGTGTCTCCTGTTAAAGTAGCTGGGAATTTTTAGAATAAATGCATATACTTGTAGTGTGTCAAGGTCAGCTTTGCTGTACCTACACAACTAATTATTTAAATATAACGGGTTATTTCTTTTTCGAGTTAAATTAATGCCATGTGACGAGGTAACTGTGAGGATTGTTTAATCAGTGACAAGAGACTTTAATTTCCTTTGACCCATCAGAATAAATGTGGTCATTTATTTTACAGAATCAAAATTTAACATGAAAACATGTACACGTGATTAGCTGATCTGGTTCTGATTAATAAAACGGCACGCTTTACTAATAAGACAACAAGACATTTCTGAAGGCATCTAGATTACTGGCAAAATAGAAGAGTTTAAAGGAAGGATGGGTGAAGAGAAAAGATGGGTGAAGGGAGGTGTCTGTTTGGACCAGGATGGCACGCTTCTTCCAACACCAGTTCAAACCTCCGGTACACTTAGCGCGTCACGACTCGTTACCTTTGCAAGAGATAAATCAGCTTCAGTGTCGGGTCCATTTCAACGCTACCTTCCAGCGCCTCCGGTAAGAGCGGCTGGTCATCGTCAGAAGTTGTGTCGATTTACTCCGTTCAACAAACAGGCTCAGCTCCCTTCGAAGTTGGAGGCATTACACCCAGGTGGATTCACAGCAAGCATCTGTGAGTCCGTCAGAGATCCCACTCAGGAGTGGAAGACTCCACAAGGCTTGAGAAGACTCCATCAAAGACTGAGTTCAACTCAGATCCAAGACTTCAGAAGAACGGAGTAGACTCCAGAAGACCCAGTAGACTGAGTAGTTCCAGGAAGTGTGGACTTTTAAAGAGTTCTCACTTCTGGTCACTCAGGACTACCTGATTGGTTGAAACAACCAACAGGGGGTGGTTCTAGTGATGTCAGAGGGTTATTAAAAGTCACAGAGAGTGTGAGAATGTTTAGGAACGTTTAGTACAGACAGAGAAATGTTATGGCGAAGTGAGACACGCAGATGCCAGTGCTTCTCTTTTTACTGTCTGCTAGGTTTAAAAACAATACAGCCTGTTCTAATAACTTCTTTCTGACTGTCTCTGACTTTTGACCGACATCACTACTTCTCATTTAGACAGAAAATCAAAATGCATAATTACTTTGTAAATAGACATTTAACTTGATTTCTAATTTAAATGAGGTATAAAAACATAATTAATACTGTTTCACAGTTGATTTAAAATGAGTGGTTCACTTCAACTTTAGAAATGATATGAACTAAACACACTTTGGTTATCAAGATATTGTAAAATAGTAATGATAATATAAAAGAAGAGTGTTCTTTCAATTGATTACTTCAGGATACAATTAGAAAGTCTCTGGATGAGCTAATTTGTATTTCTGGATTCAAATCAATGAAATAACAGTTCCTGTCCCATGAAGGTCTTCAGAGGCAGGTTTTGGTCGGAGGCCTAGTTCACTACATACTCAGTTCCACCGAATAAGCTTCCTTAGAAGTGGAGCATTTACTGCTCTGGTTGAGTGCACAGCAATGCGAGCCGTGACTCCGCTAAATGGACGGACCCTTGTCTCAAGGTCAAATCCATCAGCTATTGATTAAATCTGAAAGTTCCTTAGGAACTCTCAGTAAGACTCCAGTCAGAGATTCCACTCAGAAGTGGAAGACTCCTGGGAAGACTTCATAGAGGAAGACTGAAAAAAGACTCCAAGAAGACTGAATAGTCCCAGGAAATGTTGACTTTTTAAAGAGTACTCACTTCCTGTCACTTGGTACTTCCTGATTGGTTGAAACAACCAGCAGGGGGTGGTTCTAGTGATGTCAAGAGGGTCACTAGAAGTCAAAAAGACAGCAGGAATGTTTAAGAACGGTTAGTTACAGACAAGAAAAATATTTTGAAGAAGTGAGAAACTTTGCAGGTGCCAGCTTCTTATTTACTGTCTGCTAGGTTTAAAAACAAGACACTTTGTTCTAATAACTCGTCTCTGTTTGTCTCTGACTTTTGACCGACATCAAATCCACTCATTCAGACAGAAGATCAAAATGCACTATTACTTTGTAAATAGACATTTAACTTGATTTCTAAGTCTAATGAGGTTTAAAAATCATTAATACTGTTTCACAGTTGATTTA